ATATTGGATGGAATGCCCGTCCGGTTCAGCCGATGTCCCAGATGCAAGTCCATGAGGGTATTTTCTGGCAAGTCACTGCCCCGCAGGAGCCATCGCACTGGATATATCAGATGAAGGACGGTGACATCCTCATTGCAAAGCTGGATGGACAAAAGGATGCTCCGTTGCCGAGCACGACAAACATCATTGCATCCAAGAAGACCATCACAACGCTTGCTCAGAGTCACCAAGACGCCTCCGCTGACCCTTGGCTGCATTCCGATCCATGGCAGTCATATAGCAAGCCACGCAAGACACCAGGGCAGCCGGTGCCCACTGTTGCGATGCCAAGCCAGTTGGCAGCGCTCGAACAGCGCATTGAGCAGAAGATCATGGCAGCCAAACACGAGCCGCCGACGAATTCCATGCACACTGACCAAACAGCACGCATCGAGGCATTGGAATCTCAAGTGAATTCCCTCACCCACAGTGTATCGACATTCCAGAGCCAGCAAGTCAAAGTGAATCATCAACTGGCCAGTCAGTTGCAAGGCTTCGAGGGGCGTATCGACGCCAAGCTTGACGACCAGATGCAGCGTATCGAAGCGCTGCTTTCCAAGAAACAGCGCCATGAGTGACTAGGGGTCGCTCGAGGCCGGGGAGATAGACATCCTGCAGTGGCCGCTTGCCATTCGAAGCAGTCGCAAGCATGCCTACTGCAGCCAAATTCATTTCGTCACAGGCACGGTGCGCAAATCCGTCCTGAAGGGTTCACGATCCGACATAGTGATCACAACATGCACCACGTCCAGCCTTTTTCGTTGACTCGTGGCAGACAGCAGCAGAGTGGAGTCAAAAACATGCTTCGCTTCTTTGTTTTGTTAATGTTTGTGTTTCGGTTCGGGGAAGCTAGTCACCCAGGACCCCCTTGTTCTGGTTTTGTCTTAGGGCTGCTCAACCCCACTGGTCTGCTTCACAAGTCGGACTTAATTAATCAATTACCGCAAGGATCGCAGGGAACAACTTGGCTTGTCTCGGAAACACACCTAACCCAGCCTGGCTGTGAACAGTTCAAGCGGGCCCTCAAGCTCTCCAAGAGCCCATATAAGTTGTTGCATGGAGATACAGTGCCCCCCAAACAACAGCACCAATCGCTCCATGCTGTGCGGGGCAAAGAAAAGGGGGTTGGGTTTCTCACCAGTGCACCTGGCCGAGCGCTTATGCATTCATGGCCTTCCGATATTGCTCCGCAAAATCGATGCCATGTAGCGGGTTTTCAATATGGTCAGCAATGGCTTCAAGGGGGAGTTTTCTATGGAAATGCATTTCAGAGTGGGGGTGTTTCGACTCGCGAATCCAACAACCGACTCCTTTCGCATATCGTACATCGGATATGTGACTGTGCACGTGGCCCTCGGTTTATTGGTGGGATTTCAATCACTTCATTGATGAACTGCCGGAAGTCCAGAAGCTGCTTCAACAGGGGTGGCAGGAAGTGCAGCATCTTGCGGCTGCTAAATTCGGTCAGCCCATTCAGCCGACCATCCAACAAAAGCACACTAAAGATCTTCTGTTCCCCAGCCCGGAACTCACGCCTTTTGTTGAGTCGGATTGGGTTGCAAATCATTCTATTGTGTACGTAGTGTTGGATGTTGCAGCTTCACCACCAAGTGTTCCTATTTGGAAACAGCCGCGTCCTGTCGATTGGCAGGCATACACATGTTCGATGAACTCTGAAGAAAATCCACATGTAGGACATCCATATGCCCCCCTTGAGAAAATCCCGGGAGCATGGAAAGCTAGCCAGTACAGGCCCCTAACGGTTTTTTCGATAGTGTATAGAACCTGGTCGTCCATCCGTTCCAAAGAGGCACTTGCTTACCTAAGTCAATTTGTTTCTGATCATGTCACAGGCAATATACCTGGCAAGTCCTGCACGGACCTATGGCTGAACATTCAGCTTCATCTTGAAGAGTGTGAAGTAGATGATGCCCCAACAGCCGGGGTCGTTGCAGACCTAGTCAAAGCATTCAACTTGCTACCTAGAATCCCCCTACTAGCAATAGGTTTGCACCTAGGGGTGGCCCAATCATCCAAGCCTGGGCAGCCGCCCTTAAGCAAATGGCACGGGCCTTCAGCGTCCGGGGCACAACGGACCGCCGCTGACCACATCCACCGGGTTTGCGGAAGGCTGTGGACTCAGTTGCGCAGCAATGCTCCTGTGCAACATCGCCTTGTCTAAGTGGTTATATTTCAGGTATCCATCAGTTAAATTGTGGTCTTATGTTGATAATCTTGAACTAACTGCTTCGAGCATTCATGAAGCCGAACGTGGCTTGCAGCTCATGACCCAGTTTTGTGATTTGCTTGATCTCCAATTGGACGAGGCGAAAACCTTCTATTGGTCTAATGATGCAGCTGACCGACAAGCAGCGCGTCAAGAGCACTTGCCGTTGCAATCCTCTGCGCGTGACCTAGGTGCCCACATGGAGTACGGTCGCCGCAAGACCAATCATGTGCTGAGAGCCAGGGTATCCACAATGCCGCAAATCTGGACTGCGCTGGCCAGATCGCCAGCCCCATATAAACAGAAAGTCCATGCCCTTCGGGTCAAAGGCTGGCCCCAAGCGCTAAGTGCAGGGGCCTCCACGTGTCTGGGCGACGCACATGTCCGTGCCCTCCGAACAGGAGCTTGTCGTGGCCTTCGGATTCACGCACCAGGCATAAGCCCCATGGCTCACCTGTCGTTAGTTGAACACCCTGCCACCGATCCGGGTTGTGCCTTGTTGGTCCAAACTGTGGCAACATTCCGCCGTCACGCAAACCTTGACCAGGTCAGTAATTTGCTGGATGTGATAGCCCATGAGCAGTACACAAGACCACCCCGTCCGGGACCATGTCATGTCTTGCTTGAGAGGCTTCACTTCATAGGTTGGGCCTGGCTGGGTCAGGGATGGGCTGTGGACCATAACCAACAGCCAGTAGCACTCCTCCATGGATCGCAAGCTGAAGTCATAGAGCGACTTTATGAAGGCTGGCAACATTGTGTGCAACAGTGTTTAACTAAAAGGAAAACATTTCAGGGCATTGAGTGGGCATCCCCAAAGTTCACGCTCGAGAAAGCTGCCGCTTACTCCAGCACCAAAATGGGGCTCCTGCGTAGGGTCTTGAATGGAACCTTTTTCACTGCAGACACCCAAGCCCATAATCATAAAGCACATACACTGCAATGCAAGTTTTGTGGGGATCCAGACTCCCAGCATCACCGCTTCTGGGAATGCAAGCAGTTCGACAAAGTGCGCCCCAACCCTTGGCTTACCGCCAAGGTGCTTGAAGGAGGACTACCAAAGTGCCTCACGTATCATGGGTGGATAGGCCTTCCCGGTTCCGTCAGAGAGCTGCATCAGGCCCTTCAAAACTGCCCGGATACTACTGATTGGTTTGAGCCACTACCATTTCAGCCAACAGACTTCTTTCTTGATGGATCCTGTGTGAATCCAACCGGAATCCAACCTGCCCATTCACCAGACTGGCAGGATGGGGACTCGTCGCGGCTCACCCAGCTGATCCAGACAAATGGTTTCCACTTGCCCAGGGAAGAGTGCCTGGACGACGCCAAACCAGTGGCAGAGCTGAAATCCTCGCTGCAGTTAGCGCTCTCCGGTATGCGCTCCGCCATGGTCACCAAGTCCGGCTGTGGTGTGACAATGCACGGGTTGTGACCACCTTGAAGCAAGCCTTGTCGACCCCAGATGCATGTAAGCTAAGTCATAAGGACCTTGACCTCTGGACAGTCCTGTGGATGCTTGCCAGATCCACCAATGGTGCCCTTGTATCCATCCATAAAATTGCTAGTTCATCAAAATAAAAGTCAAGCAAATTGGATCGAACGATGGGCCTTTACCGGCAACGAGAACGCCGACCATAGTGCCCAGTGGTCTCTTTTGTTTCCTCAGGACATCCATCACAAATGGAGGTGTGCAACTGATGACATTGCAGCAGCTCGTATCCTGAGAGATCAGGTTCACCAGAGCATGATCCGGGTCAGTGAAGAAGCGGTTTCAAGAGATCAACCTCCTGCCGCCGCAGACCCGCCCCAACAGGCGTATCCACTGCCTGTTGTTGAGACAACCATAGCCGCTCTGCCTCGTAGACCTTGTACCAGCACACACAAGCTCGTAGGAGATAATTGGGATCTCCTCACCGAATGGTCTAATAGCTTAATCCACCAGCAAGCAGCGGTGGTATTCGTTCCGTTTTTTTATCCTTTTAGTTGACTTTGTCCTCCACACGGGCAGTGGAGGCATCAGACCCTCCCATAAGTTCTCTAAATGGCACTGGACCACACAGGAAGATGCTAGCAAGTTTCCACTTTTCGAACGAACCAAGTGGTTTCGGCTGTTCCTGATTCGAATCTTTAAGCTTGAAGGAATCCCAATTAGCTCCACGTACGTCCGGCCCTCATCGCCGACAGTGGTGTTCTGGGCTCACTGTGTGAGCATCAGGTTTGCTGCGGAAAGGCTCCAACGCCTTGAACGGTTCTTGCAACGATTTCGTGCTTCGTACCTCACCGGTAGTGATTTGTCTGACATTTCACTCTAGTTCATCCGGGCAAAGGCTGCCCCCGCAACAAGCTGCGGCGCCTGCATCTTACGGAGAAACGGAGAAATGGAGGCCATCGCTATTAGGTTGCAGGCCATCGCTATTAGGTAGGAGGGCATCGGTATTGGGTTTGAGGCCGTCGCTATTAGGTTGGCGGCCATCGCTATGAGGTTGGCAGCCATTGCTAGTATAGGTTGGAGGCCATCGCTATTCGGTTGGAGGCCATCGCTAGTAGGTTGGCGGCCATCGCTATTAGGTTGGAGGCCAACGCTATTCGGTTGGAGGGCATTGCTATTAGGTTGGAGGCCATCGCTTGCTGGTAGGTTGGAGGCCATCGCTATTAGGCTGGCGGCCATTGCTATTAGGTTGGTAATTGTCGCGGTTCTTTGCTGTGATGTTGTGCGGCTTCATTCGCGCAGGACAGAGGCGAAGAGCCTAACGCTGTGGCCCGCGCTCGCTTGCAAAATGTGTTGTTCCGAAAAGATGCCTCAGAACCATGTGGAGAGCCGCATTCCTAGGCAAAAGAACCATCTCAGATTTGCAAAGCTGGAGATTTGGTCGAAAGCTGGCTGCGTGCCGCAGATCAAGCCAGTTTTGAGGCCATGGTCCATGGTGTTGTACATTTTGGTTGAAGTTTCTAGAGGTTTGTCTCGAAAGGATAAGGATCTTCCGAAGCCACAGCTCTACACCAAGGCCCTTCAGGCGATGCCACCTTACGCAACTAAGACAATCAAATCGCAATAACCTGTGATTTTCCTTAGTTGAATTGCAAGGCCTGCCTTATGAGCAATGATTTGGACTCCGCAAGCCAACTTCTCCGACGAAGTTCGTGGCAGCTTCCAGAAGGTCATGATTTTGACACGGGTTATTTTGTCACAACATGTTCTTCCCCAGATAGCGCGAGCTATTGGGGTTCTTACTTCAAGTAATTATAGGAAGAGGTGTTTGTGTCCTGAGTGCGGGTGTCGCTACCGGGTGCTGCTGCTGCTGCTGCCCACAAACATGTTTTGTTGTCTTGGGTCTATGTGCTGGCGCATTTTGTGTTGTCTCACACAGGTGGAAGAACAGCCATCCAACTTGTGGCCCTGGCCCGACGGCTGCACGGCATATGAAGTGAGTAGATGACATGGACATTTCATGCATGAACACGGTACAATTCAAAATGGTTTGCAATTTGCAGCAGTGGTTTTCTTGAACTGTTTGCCTGACACACTACAAAATGATAGAGAACTGAGAACAGCATTTCTTGGGATTGGAGTGGTGCTTTGAACAGATTGTGTCAAGGTTGTGTTAGTTGGGCGTGAGTCGTTCGGTATATATACCTTACCTTCTTTCTAAATCTGCATGGGTTTCACGTCATATGCTGTGCCACCCCCAGCCTCTACCTTTAACTTGAGCCACATCTCATTCGCCGACAGGCCATTTAGATCGCCAAAGGCTCACAGATGTGGGTGTTGATACCTTTTGGGCTCACACTCCAACAAAGCTTGCTAGTTGGTGCACCCCATACGCTGTGAGGCAGGTATCCCACACATGGCAATCCAACTTGCGTTTGAAGCACATCATAGCACTGATTTATTTGTAAAGCGACTTTACATCCTGATACATCCTGCTATTGAGCTGGGGGCAAGGGGCGACGGAGTGCAAGAAGAACATCAATTGTTAACACCCTAGTAGCGATGGCCTCCAACATACTGAGCGATGGTCTCCAACCCACTCGCAATGGCTTCCAACCCAATAGCAATGGTCCCAACCTAATAGCGATGGCCTCCGACCCACTAGCGATG